GGAAGATGAGTCTTCCTGACTCCAGGCCCAGCACTCTATCCACTGTACTACCCACCAAAGGGATTTTTCTTAACTGGACATCTAACCCTGTCACTCTCCTAAAACTCTAATGGCTCCCTACCACCTTCAGAATCAAATAAAAACTCCTCTGTTAGGCATTTCAATTTTTACACAGTGTAGCACCATCCTGCCTTTCAACCTTATTACCTATTACTCCTCTCCTTGTACGTTATCTCCCATCACCATGCCTTTGCTGCGGCTCTTCCCAATGCCGGGAATGCTCAACCTCTTCAATCCCTGATTTCCTTCAAGACTCAGATCAAACCTCCCTCCACATGAGGTCTTCCCTCCTCCCTCAGCTGCTCCCCCGCCACTTCTAACTCTGTGTGTGTGTGTGTTGTATATACCAAGAATTATATATGTTCTCTCCCCCTTTGGTATTAAACTGTTTGAGGAGAATGGTTTCATTTTATCTTATCTCCAGTGCTTAGCACCATGCCTGGAAAACAATAGGTGTTTAATAAATGCTTATTGGTTGATTGATAAAGTATTTCCTCTGTGAAATACTTTGGGCACTGTAGCAGGTACTGGGGATAAAAAGATAAAAAAGGAAAGTTCCTACCCTCAAGGACTATAGGATCATAGATTTGTAGCTAGAAAGGGCCTTGAACAGGGATCTACATTCCCCACTTGATAAATGGTCAAAGGATATGAACAGGCAGTTTTCAGAAAAAGAAATCAAACCTATCAATAGTCACATAAAAAATGCTCTAAATTACTACTGATTAGAGAAATGCAAATTTAAATAACTCTCAGGTACCACCTCACACCTATGAGATTGGTTAATATGACAGAAAAGGAAAATGACAAATGCTGGAGAAGATGTGGAAAAATAGAGACACTAATGCACTGTTGGTGGAATTGTGAGCTGATCCAATCATTCTGGAGAACAATTTGAAGTTATGCCCAAAGGGCTATTAAACTGTGCACACCCTTTGATTCAGCAACATCACTACTAGGTCTGTATCCCAAAGAAATGAAAGAAAAGGGGAAAGGACCTATTTGTACAAAAATATTTATAGCACCTCTTTTTGTGGTGGCAAAGAACTGGACATTGAGGGGATGCCTGTCAACTGGGGAAAGGCTGAACAAGTCATGGTATATGATTGTGATATTATTGTGGTATAAGAAATGACAAGCAAGATGCTTTCAGAAAAACCTGGAACAACTTACCTGAACCGATGCAAAGTAAAGTGAGCAGAACCAGGAGAACATTGTACATAGTGACAGCAATATTGTATGATGATGAACTATGAATGATATATCTATTCTCAGCAATACAGTTATCCAAGAAAACTGCAAAGACCCATAATGAAAAATTCTGTCTATCTCCAGAGAAAGAACTGATGAACTCTGGATGCAGATAGAAACATACCCTTTTAAACTTTATTTTTATTGTATCATTTTGTTTGTGTTTTCTTTTGCAACATGGCTAATATGGAAGTATGTTTTGCATTATTTCACATGCATAATTGATATCAAATTGCTTGCCTTCTCAATGAGAGAGGAAGGGCAGGAAGGAGAGAGAGAATTTGGAACTCAAAATTTTAAAAAAAAATTGTTAAAATGTTTTTTTTATATGTAATAGGGATATATTCAATGAAATAAGTAAAAATAATTTTTTAAAAAGGGAATCTAGTCCACCACTACCTCTCATTTTACAGAGAAGAAACTGAGGCCCAGAGAGATTATTTGCCCATGGTCACACAGCTAATAAGTGTCTGAGGTGGGATTTGAACCCAGGTCTTCTGATTCTAAGTCTTCCAACCCATCTGCTACATTTTACCATTCTGTCGCAAAGAGAAGTGTATCAGAAGTACAAGCCAAGTGTTATGTGAGAACTGGGGGTAACATGAAGAAACCACGGCCGTGGCTTGCTGTTGGCACATGGACTGGATCCCAGATATCCTGGGCCCCTAGTGCTGAAATCACTGCAGCCTGGAGGGCTCCAGACACCATTGCTGGTGCAGTCCCACCAGGGTGTCTGGCCTTGTCCTGCCCTTCTTCCCTTGATCAGTCCAATCTAATTCCCCCACCCTTCTCTGAGCTGTGGGAATTTCATTCTCTCAGTGTCCAAGGCTGGGGAAAATCCAGTCAAACCAAGCAGAGGCAGCCCCCAGATATGGGAGGTCCTTCCTTGCCTTATTTGCTTGGAATGATGTTTTCTTCCCTGAGGCAACATCCTCAATGACATGGAAAGAATCTTGGATCTGAAGTAAGAAGACCTTGGTTTGAGCCTCAGCTAAATTACTGTGTGAGTTTGGGTAAATCTCTCTCTGGGCCTCAGTTTCCTCATCTGTAAAATGAAAGGATTGAACTGTTCCTTTCTTTTCTAAATCCTATCTGAATCACATCTATCCTTCAAGACCCAGCTTACATGTCACCTCCATGAAGCCATTAATGCCCCCTACCCCTGTGTGTGTGTGTGTGTGTGTGTGAGACACAGAGAGAGAGAGAGAGAGAGAGAGAGAGAGAGAGATCGCACACACACACACCCCACCCCAAGGATTCCTTCCTCCTCTGACCTCCTTCAGAATTAAGACTTCTGGGTTGGATGACATTAAGTTTTAATTCAAAGGTCAATTATCAAAAGGCTGTTTCACCATGTGAAAAGTCTTATGCTAGCTAGAGGATTCAAAATCACAGTTCCTGCCTTCAAGGAGCTTATAGTCTAATAGGAGAATGTGACGTGGACATAAAGGAGTATGATACAAGGTGGAACATGACAGGAGTAGGGCAAAGAGCTACAAATTTTCTAAATAAGATGGAGAGAGGGAAAAATGGATGGGCCTCAGTTTCCTTATTTGTAAAATGAAGAAGCTGGACTGGATGACCTGAGTTCCCTTCCAGGTCTAGTCTATGTCTATGATCCGGTGACTGTGTGTGAGCCTGCTCACCTCGATTAACCTCAACCGCAATTTTCCTGCCTGTAATAAAGACAATACTTTTATTACCTACCTCCCAGAGCTATTTATAGGTTCGTAGATTTAGAGCTCTAAGGGATGTGGGAGGTCATCAAGCCCAAATCTCTCATTTTAAAGAGGAAGAAACTGAGGCCCAGGAAGGGGAGGTGGTTTGCCCAGGACACACAGGAAGGAAGTGGCCTGGCTAGGACTCAAACCCAGTTCCTCACTCCAAATGGTGAGAAAAGAAGGCGTTTTTAAGTGCTACCAAAAAAAGAAAAAAATGAATTATTGTACTAGACTCAGAAGTCTGGGGGTTTTACCTTCAGTGGGGGAGGGATGTGGTCAGACCTCTGCAAATTTCAGGGATGGTAAGAAAGATGAATGGGAGGCAAAGAGGCCAAGTAGGAGGCTACTAGGAGAGCTGAGTTGAGAGCCTGCCTGATCTAAGGTGATGGTTCTAATGGGAGTGGAGCAGAAGAGAAATGGTAGAATCTCACACCCATAGGCTAGAGCTGGTCAGGCCCTTAGAGCTCATCTCCATGCGTTTCAGTCTTAACTATCAGCTGCCTGAAGGCAGAGCCAGGGGTCTTCTCTCTCATCCCTGGCAGGGTGAGGTAGGTTCACCGCAGGCTCTCAGTAAGAACTTGAATTTAATCCGCCCAACTGGACGCCCAGCCTGAGGCAAACCATGGACCAGAAGCGTGAGAGACCTCAAGGACGGTGGGAGGAAAGTGTACCAAAGCAGGAGGGCATCCGTAGGATTGCCTCTGGAAACCCTGAGGGTGACTCATTCCCTTTTCTCCCTCTTCTCCACAAGGACAAGGCAATAAAAGCTGGGCAACTGGGGGAAATGGGGGTGGGCGGAACTTTCGGAAGGGAAAATGCCCCCAGGGGCCAGTTTTGCCTCCGGACACCCGGGCACTCTTCCCAACGCCAAGGGTGGGGGTGGGGATCTCGGGCTGGGGTAGGGCCCCGGAGCCGGCTGGAGTCCAGTCCCTAGCTAGAGTGGGGGTGGAGAGAAGTCGTGAAGTCACCACTTTTTTCAGTCCAGGGCACCAAGGAGACATCCTAGCTCAGGGGAGAGGGCGGGAAGGGGAAATAAAGGCACTAGACCCCAGGGGACCAAGAGCCCTGGCTCTCCAGGGCCCGACCTGGTGCGCCAGCACCTATAGGACTGGGGTAAGCGGAGGCAGGTAGGAGCCTGCTCCGGGCGGGATAGCTTCGGGGCTTAGCTACCGTGGTCAGTCACCGGGAGCGCAACCTATGATCAAGTTACCTTGGCCCATTCCAACCCCATCCCTATGAGTGCCTGCGCTGGGGAGCGGGCTCCCAACCTCGCGAGCGCGTCCAGAGGATTTCATGTCCCCCGTTTCCCTGCCAGAAACTCATTTCTTCCGCCAACTTCCTCGAAGTCGCCCACCCCCATTTCCAGTCCTCTTTCCCAATGTGAACAAGTCCTGGGAACTCAAGAGGCGCCCAGGGTGCACAGTCCGGCCCCCAGAAGATCAGAGATAATGTAGAACTAAATTAAACACTTGAAGAGATAAGGGGGCAAGTGCAGGATGGCACGGGACCGGGAATGGAGTAGCAGGACAGAGGGAGAAAAAAAAAGAGTGATAGACAAAAAAAGGCATAAGGAAAGATAGTGGAGACAGAAAGGAAAAGAGAAATAAAGGAGAGAAGCAAGAGAAGAGGGGAAAGACGGGGAAAGAGAAGGGAAGGGAACAACTGAGGAGAGAGAAGAGACGCAAAGAGGCAGAGAGATACAAGGAGAGAGGGGAGAGAGAGAAGAGGCAAGAGAAGAAAACGAAGGAGAGAAAAAAGGAGGCAGAAAGAAGGGAAGAGGAGAAAAGAGAGTGTAGAAAAGAAAAAAAGGAGAGAAGCAAAGGAAAGAGAAAGAGAGACTCTGAAAAAGAGAAGAGGAGAAATGAAGAGGAGAGAAGGGCAGGATAGCTAGTGGCAGGGGCAGGGGCAAAGCGGGGGCAGAGCAGAGCAGGACGGGGCAGGGCAGGGCCCACAACAAAGAGCACCGACCTCCTCCAGCAGCTGGTTGACTCTTCCCAAAATAGCCTCCTCCATTTGGTGCGCGGCCAGCCAGGCGGGGGGCTGCGGGGGCTGCTGCGGGGGCGGGCGCCGCTGCTCGGCTTCCAGCCGGCCCAGGCGGGACTGCAGCTCCGCGCTCCGAAAGTGCACTAGGAGGCTGAGCGCCAGCGAGAAGAGGGACACGCCGCCCAGCAGCGCGCAGCTCCGGGGCAGCGGGGGCCGGGGGCACGGCTCCCCCCGGGCCGCTGCCGCCGCGTCGCTGGCCCCTTGGCGAGCCTTGTCCTCGATCATGCCCGTCCGCCCAAGAGCCAAGAAATAAGTGAAGCGCTGCTCGGGTCCGCTCACGGTCTCCCTCGGCCGTGGGGGCGCTCAGGGGGGCAGCCGACCAGCAGCGCGGAGGACGGGGTCGAGGGGCACGGTGTTGGCGAGGTCCGGCGCGCAAACTTGGAGAGCCAAACGGGCCGCGCGCGACGCGCGGGAGCCAGTCCCAGACTGGCCAGGCAGCGGGACCGAGGCTTAGCGCGCTCCGTGTTCGCCAGTGCCGGTCCGGGGGCTCGTGCCGAGAGGGAGCGAGCTCCAGAGAGCGAGCCAGCGAGCTAGTGTCCTCCCCTTCTTGCTCTTCCTCCTCCTCCTCCTCTTCGTCCTCCCCCTCCTCCTCCTCCTCCTCCTCCTCCTCTTCCTCCTCCTCCTTCCTCTGGCTGGGGTGGGTCTCCCCGGGGTTTGTCAGTTTCGGTTCCGCGGAGGAGCGAGGGAGGGATCGGCCAGAAGAGTCCCCATTAGAGAGAGGTGTTTGCCACCGCCGCCTCCTCGGAGGTGTGCCGGGCCCGATTCGGGCGCCTCTGTAACTTGACACACTCCCCAGCTACAGGGATCCGATGAGCAAGCCCTGCTGCATCCCCTCCCCCTCTCTCTCTCTCTCTCTCTCTCTCTCTCTCTCTCTCTCTCTCTCTCCCTCTCCCCTCCCCTTCCTCCCTCCCTCCCTCCCCCTCTCTCTGACTTTCTCTCCTCCCTATTTCTCTCTTATCCCTCCCCTCTACCTGTATTCCTCTTTCTTTCTCTCCCTCCTTTCCCCCTTTCTCTCCCTCTCCTCCTCTCACAAGTTATTTATTTATTTATTCATGCAAAGTTGCTCAGTGGGATGGAAGATTAAGTCTTATTCTCCTCCTCACTCATCCCCCAAAGTCCCCACCCTGGGGCTCCCAGTTCCCTTTGAAGTGTCTCTTGGGCAGTTATTTATAGGCAGGAAAGAGATTGGGCTAGAGTGCGGGGGCTTCAGGTTTTTCTGCCCTCTTCTGTATCACACCAAGGTGGGGAGACTGGTTGGGTTTTTTCTCTTTCCCTCCCCAAGGCAGCTTGGTGAGGCGGGACCATCCTCAAGCTCCCTACCACTTCCCAGAAGTTTGCAGAAGTGGACTTCTTGGGATACGTGCAAAGAAGGGGAAGATTCCGTTGGTATTCCCCAACTGGGTCACTATTATATGCTCATCTTTGGGGTTCCCCTGGAGGGGCCTTAGGTCCCCACAGTTCTGCCAGCCATTCCCACTACTGTCTTGGGCATCCGCCTCTTTCTTCAGCTCCCAAGTCTACAGACTCACCCTAGGTCGGCCTCAGTAGGATGTCCATCATATCTTGCCATTCAAATATCACTCACTGCATCTTGTCCCCAATTCAACAATTATAGAACTTAAGAATGGAGTACCAGGCCGTTGGGGGAGGAGACAGAATTTGGAAAAGATTCACTCACTCTGCCTTCCCTGAGCTTACAGTCCTGAGGATAAGACAAATGCAGCTAAGGTACCAAATTATAGTATATGTACGTATGGTATAGTAGAGAGGTATAAACCCAAGTACTCTGTGATGCCTGGGAAACAGCCTGCTATTATCAACTTTGGCAATCAGGGAAACGTTGGAGGCAGTGCTTGAGGTGGGTAGGGATTGAATTAGTGGGAGAGGAAAAGAGATATTCCAGGTATAAGGAATAATGGGAACAAAAATAGGGAGTCAGACCACAGTATTCATTTGAGGTACAGAAATTAACCTGTTTTGTCCAATAACAAGGACATAAGAGAGGCATAACTTAAGACTGGAAAGAAGGTAGTACCAGATTGGAGAAGTCCTCGTATGTCAGACAAAGGAATGTGAAGGGAATTGTGATTTTCATAGTAATCGATATGATATGTGTAATGAATATACGAATAGATTAAATTCTCAGAATTGCCTCTTCTAGCTACACATTACACGTATATCGATTAATATGAAAATAGTACTCAATATGAAAATCATAGGAATTGGTAGGGAATCAATAGGGAATCATGAGATGGCTGTTGCTGTTGTCTGTCCTTTGTTCTCAAAGAGGACCATGACATCGGGAATGTCATGGTGCCATGATATGCAAGTGAACTGGATTTAAGTGAGGGAGGGCCATGTAGTCACCAGTCTCGCTTTTTCCTCCGGAGCGATCTGGGTCCAGTGGCAAGATATAGATCAGGATGACTGGCGATGGCCCCCCATGGGAGGGAGATCTTTGAGCAGAGGAGGGAGGGGTCCTACCAGACCTTCCCACCCATCCATTATCTCACATCTTCCTTCTGAAAGGGGAGCAATCAGCCTGCCTTAGGACCACTAAAGGAAAAGACATAAGAACTGACAGGGTCCCACTGACTCCTGCCTGAGGGATGGACAGAGGAGGAAGCCCAGAGCAGAGGGAGGCTCATCCCAGGAGACTGGAGAACTGGGATGGGGAAGATAGAAGAGGCATTGAATGTGTATGCCTGCCATCAGGCTAAGCTCAAAGAGTCAAGCATCTGTATGGAGAAGCTGGAACAGAATCACCTTCCCTCTCCCCTCCCCTGCATCAGGGAGGGTAGTATCTAACCCAACTCCCCCTTCCTGCACTTTTTCCTTGGGGGCAGCCAGAAGTTTCCTGTGGGGATCCAAGAGCGCTCATAAAGTATCCCCTCGACCTTGTTTTCTCTCCCTTCGTCCCGGCTATCTTTCTTACTTAAAAAACCATCATTCTGAATAATCAGCTCTAAGTAACTCTGTCTATTCAGACCTTATCTCTTAGGGGCTCATAACATTCCCGCACAGGTGGAGGGGGAGAGAGGACATATATGGTGGGAGAGAAACAGAAGAGTGAAAGGAGGGTCAAGTCAATTGCCTTCCTCTGGGCCCTTAGTAGTAAAATATTGACTGCACTTACTATAGTGTCAGCAAGTGTAATATCTCACATCATATAATAACAATATATCTCTCTTGTGATACATAAGGGTTTCAAGGAACCTTAAGGATCATCTAGTCCAAACCCCTGGTTCTTTTTTCCAAAGGAGGAGGTTGAGGCCTAGAAAGCAGAAGCAGTTTGTCCAAGGTCACACAAATAATAAGAGAGATGGGACTTGAAATCAGATCTTGGGACTCACTTATTACCCATGGAACTTCTATGTCTTCATTTCTTCCCTCGTAAACATTGAAGGGATTGGACTGAGTGACTTCTAAGATCTCCATTTTCACTGAGTCTATGATCTATGATATGGCATTCTTTCCATTGTACACTAACTCTATGCCGTATGTAATTATTTAATCGTCATTAAGAGGCAGATGTGCGGATCCCCGATGAAAGATAGGGGAGTAGACTTGGACTCAGGAATTGTTGTTGTTCAGTCCTGTCCCACTCTTCGTGACCCCACTTGGGGTTTTCTTGGTAGAGATGCTGGAGTGGTTTGCCATTTCCTTCTCCAGCTCATTTGACAGATGAGGAAACTGAGGCAAACAGGGTGAAGTGGCTTGCCCAGGGTCACACAGCTAGTAAGCCTCTGAGGCCAGATTTGAACTCAGGAAGAGGAGTCTTCCTGACTCCAGGACCGACAGTCTATCCACTGCACCACCGAGCTTCCCAGAAATATCTGGGTTCAAATCTGGCCTCTGACACTAGAGCTCTCAGCCTCCAGCAACTCATAGGTTTTTCATCAGTTTAAGACAGTAAGTAAGAGTGTTCTGAGTCCTTTAGGTGAGGAAACCTGGGGGGCAATTGGTTCAGCGCGGAGAACGCTGCACTGGGGAGTCAGAAGAGTTAGATCTGCCACTGACTTGGTGTGTTTCCTCCGTATCTAGAAGACCTCTTGGGTCCCCTTTCTGCTCTGTCTGACATATTCCAGGATACTACGATCAATGCGGAGCTGGGCTGCTGGTTTTCCAGAGGCAGATAATCATAGCTAGCATTTATATGACGTTTCAAGATTTGCAAAGTTCTTTACAAACTTCTCTCAATTTCTACTTAAAACCACCCTGAGATGACATGCCCAGGAGAGTGTGGGTTCTGTCTGGCCACCAGGGGGAGCGAGAGAGTTTCTACTTAGAGTGGGAAGCGTCTGCTCCGATGATGGCAAAGTCTTGGCTCTTGAAGAATGAATGCAGGCATTTATCTGACCCTACTGGGCTCTCTTCACTCAGGCTAGTTAAGATGGGAGTATGGCTAGAGGGCTCTGCCCTCTGTGCCTAGGCTGGTGACTCCCCAAGCGCCTCTAGGCACCTCCTAGGAAGGGAGAACTGTGATGTTTGACTCTGGTTCATTGAGGAAACATTTATTTATTTCCTACTTTGTACAGAGACAGGCATGGCCAAGTCCCCAAGTCTGCCTTTGCTGCCCCTGCCTACTTGGAGCATAGAATCTCTACCCTCTTCTCTCAGCAGCAGGATAGTCGCTCACTTGTAAGGGGTGTGAACCCCCTGAGATGGCAAAGTCACTTCTAAGAGATGACAACAGCAACAACATTTCAGGCTAGGAAATGGAAAGGAGACTGACCTGGGAGTCAGGAGACCTGGGCTCGAGCCTCAGCTCCGATACTTACCTGCTGGGTGACCTTGGGCCGTGTCAGTTAACTGTGTCTCAGTTTCCTCGTCTGTAAAATAGGAAAGATAATCCTGATATTACCTGTTTAGGAGAATGAGGTGGTATTGTGGCAAGAATGCTTTAGAAGCCTTGAAGTGCAGAATAAATGAGCTTTATCTCACTTTTAAAGCAGCAAAGGGAATGAGACTTTCTGTGCCCCCTCCCTCCTTCTACCCACTTCCTCCCTCCCTTTCCACCCCCTTTCCCTCCCCTGACCACAGGGCATCCCATCAGAGTGCCTGAGTTCTGGAGGTGGTACTGCCAGCAAAAACAATGGGAATTCTCTGTTCTTAACCACTTTCCTATCAAGTCTCTGCCTCAGGGACTGTTTGCCTTGCTCTACAGCTGGGTCCAGTCCAACCCTTCTTAATGTGATCATTAACAGCAATCACTCTCTTCCTTC